AACAAACTATGATAATTAACGTCTACGTATATTCTATTACCACGCTGTCATTGTTCATTCTGTTGGTAACCCTGAATTGTGTACAGTGGCGTAACACTCTCCCCTTGGTAAATATTACAGGTCGAGTCCTTGAGGTGGTTTTCTTATTCGTGTTGATCGTCTCACTTCGTCGGTAGTTGTCTCTGTTGTAGTTGCGGTAGTTTTCTCAGTAGGTTGTGTGTTTTCAGTAGGTTGTATATTTTCAGTAGATTGTGCAGAACTTTGCAAATCACTGAAGTGTGGTAAAATGTCTTCTACTTCAGGTGTATTTGGAATTTTTACTTCGGTCGGTAGCATTTGATTTGTGTGTCTCCTGTGTAGCTTTTTATCTATTTCTACTTCATACTGAAGTCCATGTCTTTCTTTCACAATACCATATTTCCATTTTTCTTCCTTATTGTTATAATTCCTTATTTGTACCTTCTCCCCCACTTTGAACTCTTTGCTTCGGATATTATCTTCCGGAATATTCCGTTCATTCACTTCTCTGGGTAAGTTTCTTTTAACTAAATCCAATCTGGTTCTTATGTTTCTCCCAAGTAGTAATTCAGCTGGGCTGGTATTTGTGGTTGAGTTTGCAGTTTTGCGGTACTGCATGAGAAATCTGCATAATTTTAATTTTATGTCACCTGGTTCATTGTACATTGCTCGTAATGCCTGTTTTAATGTTTGAACATATCTCTCAGCTTGTCCATTGGTTGCTGGATGATACGGTGCGATTGTTTTGTGTATAATTCCATTTGCCTTGAGAAATTGTTGGAATTCATTTGACTTGAATTGTGGTCCGTTGTCCGAAACTAGTGTATTTGGTAGTCCGAATCTGCAAAAGATATCTCGCAACATCTCTATCGTAGCTGCTGAATTTGTTGAATGGGTTGGTATTACTTCAGGCCATTTGCTGTATGCATCTACGAGAATAAGGAAATTGTATCCATGAAACGGGCCAGCATAGTCTATGTGTACTCTAGACCATGGTGCTGTAGGAAATTCCCACGGGTGTACGGTAATTTTTGTCGGATTGTTCTTTATTTTTGAACAACTGTGGCATGAATTTACCATTGTTTCAATGTCTTTATCGATGCCTTTCCACCAAACGTAACTTCTGGCTAAAGCTTTCATTTTTGTCATCCCTGTATGTGCTGTATGTAGTTCCTCCAAGATCTTTTTCTGGTATGTTTTTGGTATAACAACTCGTATTCCTCGGAAGATACATCCATCTTGCAAGGACATTTCATTTATTTGGAATCCATCTGGTAACTTTGTTCCTGTTTGTATTGCGTTAAATAGATTTTTTAGCTCTGGATCGCGACATGTTTCTTTTTGTATATCTTTTCTGGTTACTGGTAGAAAATCCAGCTGGTTGACTTGAAATATTCCTGGCGTATCGTTCTTCTTTGTAACATCTATGGTTTGCGGTAATCTTGATAAGTAATCGGCATTTGCGTGATCTTGTGTTTTTCTATACTGTATGATGTAGTTGAATCCAGATAAGTAGTTCGCGTAGTGTAGTAATCGTGTAGCAGATGTGGCTGGTAAGTTTTTGTTTTGGTGAAATATGCTTGTAAGCGGTTTGTTATCAGTGATTAATGTAAACTTACGCCCATAACAATACTGAAAGAACTTTTTCATTCCCCAAACTATTGCAGTTGCTTCTCTATCGATTTGGCTGTAGTTTTTCTCTGCTGTATTTAGTGATCGCGAGGCAAAAGCAATCGGTCTTTCCGAGCCGTCCGTCATCTTGTGTGATAGAACTGCTCCCAGACCAGTTGGTGAAGCGTCTGTGGCTAGTATTAGGGGTAGATTTTCTGTAAATGGTATTAAAACTCTCGTGCTTGTAATTTCTGTTTTGATTCGTTGAAATGATTTCTGGCATTCGTCGGTCCATTTGTATGGTGTATCTTTGTGAAGTAATTTGTAAAGAGGGTTTAGGGTACCTGATACATTTGGTAAAAACTTCTGGTAGTAGTTAACCATTCCGAGAAATGTTCTTAATTCGCTGACGTTTGTAGGTTCTGGGCTGTTTGCAATTGCTTCTGTTTTGTCTTTAGTGGTATGTAGTCCGTTTTTATCAATCACATGTCCCAAATATGTCATCGATTTCTCAAAGAATTTGCACTTTTTCCTGTTTAGGTGTAGACCGTTCTCTCGCAATTTCGTTAATACGATTCGTAATCTGGTAAATAGTTCCTCTGTAGTCTTCCCTTGTATAGCAATGTCGTCAAAGAAGCATACTGTTCCTTCTATGTTCGCAAGGATTTGATCCATAAATCGTTGCCATATGTTTGGTGCGGTTTTTACTCCAAACATTAATCTTTTGACTTTGTAAACTCCCTTATGTGTACTGATTGCCTGTAGTTGAGCTGTTTCTTCGGTTGTTTTCATGTGTAAGTATGCTTGGTGTATGTCCAATTTGCAAAAGTACTGTCCACCTCCAAGTTTGTTAAAAATATCTTCAATTTTTGGTATGGGGTGATAATCATCGTGTAAGTATTTATTAATTGTAGCCTTGTAGTCCGCGCATAAGCGTAATCGTCCATCAGATCGTACAACTGGTACTACAGGTGTACCCCATGTAGAGTTTTCAACAGGTTCTATGACTCCGATTGATTCTAGTCTTGAAATTTCATCTGACACTTTTTGGATCAGTGCATATGGTACTTGTCTAGGTTTTAAGAAAATAGGCTGTATGTTCTCATCCTTTAAGTGTAGTTTGACTTCCATGTTTGGAATTTCCCCCAAATTTTCGGATAATACATCTGAATATTCGTCAAGGATTTGCTGTAATATTGTATTGTCAAGTTCTGTATTTAAATTTTTCTTCAGCTGTTTCATCGAATTTAGATCAAGGTCAAAGTGTTGTATCCAATCTCTCCCCAGCAAAGCTTCCACTTCTTGTTCAAAAATGTATATTTCGACTTGCTTTTCTTGGGTTCCGTATTTTACATTGACTTTGGATTTTCCCATTGGTGAAATTGATTCTCCTGTGTAAGTTTTTAGCTTTGTTTCAGTTTTTGAAATATGTATATTTGGACATAATGATCTAAATTGTTTTTCAGACATTGTTGATACAGCTGCTCCAGTGTCCAGCTCCATTTTCACGTCATTTCCTTCAATTTTGACTGTTATCAAAAACTTCTGTAACTGATTTATTCTGGATGTAGCCATTTTATTTATTGTAAATTCTTCTGACTCACTGCTTTCTTGATCATTGACCTTGTAAACAGTCTTCTTTTGTGTGTACGTACTTTTCTTTAAGCAAACTGAATCTACATGTCCTTTTGTGTTGCACGTTTTGCAAAAAAGGTTTTTGCTTCTGCATTCATTTGCTTTATGGTTTGATTTTCCACATCTGTAACATTTTCCTTGTAATTTTTGTAAGTCATTTGTATTTGTAGTGTTATTTTTCTTTTTTCTATCATAGAACTTTTCCTCTGGTTTTTGTACTGTATGTCTGTTTCTTGCATGCTGTATTTTATGTATTGTATTTGGCTGCATGATTTGGTTGCTTTCTTTTCTTGAGGTTTCAATTGCAATTGCGAGTTTTACAGCGTCTTCAAAAGATACTGAGTTTTGTTGTAAGATTCTTTCTCGTATGTTGCTATCTCTTATTCCTCGTATAAACTGGGAACGTAAATGTGTATCATTTGTAGATTTCTGACAGCTTGTGCAAATTGGAAATTTTCCATAATTTAAGCACAAACTTAACTCTCATCTAATCGCTTTAACGACCAAATCGAAGAAGAAAACGTAAACCTTAAGTGCGTAGAAGATTATTTAAACAAAAAAAAACACAATGTTGCCTATGTTAACAAACATTTTTAAAAAGAATTCCCACAAAGTCCACCAGAACCCAAGCCTCAAACACAAATACTCCCTTAGTAAACCCTATACTCATACCCTTCTGGTGACATTTCCAAAATTCAAAATAATGACCTGCATAAACGCAACTATTTGGAAAATTCCCTCTACTGACACTAAATTGTTGATAATGGCAACACCCCAATAAATCGATAAAAACTGCACATACAACCCCAATCCATCACTGTGTTCAGGGTTGCCTAATATCAAATTAAAATTTATGAAATAAAATAAAAAGAAATCCAATTACAGTTCGCCTATCTAGGCAACGACATCCCTGTGTCAGTAAAAGGAACTCAAATAAACTAATTTATTCTCTTGGAAGGAGGCAACTTAACAACTAAACAAATATCCTTTTTAACAATAGTTAAACTTAAAATAAATCAACCAAATGGTTCACATCTAAACCGTTCTAGATGTAAAAAAAACTAATAAAATAAAATAAATGTGTACGGTTACAAATTAGTCCGTTCGTTTTGGGCCAGAATGGTTTCAGCAAGTTCCTCTCCAGATAGGATGGAGGGAACGTTAAAATTCTAGGCAAGCGCTTTGTGGGAGCGGAAGCCTTAAGTTTTAATATGATTAGTTCAGGACGGTCGATCAACTTTTCTATGCCAGCATTGTTAGATTCTATGATAATGCTTTTGTTTTTAGACGGGTAAATTTTAGTAGGGGCAAAGCCTATGTTGGCTGGGTTAATCTTGTCCAGAACGCTGCTCTTGACGGCTGACGACGACTTAAAGTCATCTGAATTGATAGGAGTAATTTCGATTTTGTGGACTTTATTTGTCTGCCTTCTGCCGGACGAACCAGCCTTAGGTCTGCCAACAACCTCCTCTGCATAAGAGATAGGAGCATGTGAGGGTACGATAGGACCCTGAGGGTTAGTCAGTTTGTTGACTATGGAGTTTAGTGAATTCAAAAGGTCGCCAAAGCCTTTTGCCGCACCTTGTGCCCTACGTAGGTTATCAATGTCGAAAGAAAGTTGAGTAAAGATACCCTTAACGCGTTTAATAGCGTCTTCTTTTTTAGCCTTCTGACAGGAGCTAGAGGCAAGATAGTTTACTCCTTCTATGATTGAAGAGAAAATTTTGTTGGTTAACGCTTCCTCAAGTTTTTTCAGACATTGGATGGAATCAGATTGAATAGGCTGCGTTCCGACACCGCCCGCCAGCTCCGGGGAGTCAGCGGGTGCACCGTCGGTGACGGAATGCAGCGATGAGTTAGGGGAAATTGAGGATCTCTTAGAGTCACTCATGGGGGTGAATGAATCACTCCTTTCGGAGTGGCTCATGGTGTGGAATTTGATGCCGCGCGCGAAACTAACGCTCCCTGGCCTGTCCTTCCAAGGCAACCAAGCACAGCTGGACTTTTAAGGAGGAAAGACAACGGGGCGGGGGACAAAGGGGGCTTCGAGAAGCCGACACCACCGCTCGGATCGCGCGCAATTTAATAACACCAATTTCCACGGGGAAGAGCTATTGCACAGAAGCGAAAGCGAATTTCGCATAAAAAAGCGCCCGAAGGCGCTTTAAGGGGTGTGTCTCTTAGCCGTATCTCAGGTATCTTGTGTGTCGCACGGTTAGACAACAGTTAAACTGCCCTGTCTTGTGCCTGAGTAGCCCACGTGGAGGGGGACACTTCACTTTAACCAATTTTCTAGAGCACCAAAGTTTAATTATTCAATTTAGTGATCTACTAGCATCGTCTAAGTAAGCGAAACAAAAAGGATCTAACTCGGGGCCAATAATCCGGTCCATAAGTCGTTGGAACGTGTCCGGCGCTGAGTGCAACCCGAACGGCATTACCCGAAATTGAAACAATCCGCGGCCGGGAACGGTGAAGGCTGTTATTGGCTTACTCTCGGCAGTCAGTGGTATTTGCCAGTATCCCTGTTTGAGATCTATGCTAGAAATATAACGAGCCGTGCGGAGCTTGTCCAAAATGGAATTTATAAATGGCAATGGATAAGCGTCTTTGCGGGTTACCGCATTGACTTTCTGTAAGTCAATACAGAACCGTGGTTTACCGTCTCTTTTTCGGACAATCACGACCGGTGAACTCCAAGGACTATTAGACGGTTCAATTATGCCGTCTGTAATAGAGTGTCTCAAAAAAAACGACTATTTTTTTTCCAAAGAACATTGAACATTCGTCAGAGTATCTCTAGAAAATGACCCTGTGATAACGAGCTACTTTATAAGTATGACGAAATTACTCCTTATAGGAAATTTAATGCTCTACAAAAAAGGTCTGATTGACTTTTTCCGTAAGTCAAGCCGTTTCAAAGATATCAAGCCGCAAACTTCAGAATGTTTAAAATTATGCTTTTTTTTCTTAAATACAAAAAAACCAATTTATATGTATTTAAGACCCAAAATTATTAACTTGAAAATAAATATATGCATATATTTGATGGAATCCAGATCTAAAATTCTTAATAATTTGATAAATGATAATTTTTATTGATTTTTAGCAAAAAATATTCACTTACCTAAAAAAATTTGGTAGAAGTTTACTATAAATTTATTTACATTATGTATTAATAATATATTTACTGTTTATATAGTCATGTTAATAGTCCATTTCACTTTATATCAATTTCCTTCTGTTATCTCCTGATTTAAGCAAATAAGTAATTCAAATTTCGTTAAGGTTGTTCATACAATTATTGTTTGCGCCATCTACCAGCTATTGTACGTAATTATAATCACGTACAATAGCTGGTAGATGGCATACCTTCCAAGCTTTTGTATTATTATTCTTTTCTTCTTGCCACTCACTACTCTCTTATGCAATACTTGCATGGGGAAGAGCGTCCGAATGGAAACGCATTTTTGGGTTGCAGAGGAAGGCAATTCGTATACTAGCAGGCTTGGGATATAGAGATGATTGTAGGACTACATTTGTGGAACTGGGTATAATGACTTTACCATCTGTATATATCTATGAGGTATTAAAATATGCTAAGCTGAATGTGGAAAAGTTAGCATTAACTAATGTAAATCATCCTTACACCACCAGATATAAGAACAACCTAAGACTGCCACAGTATAGACTTACAAAATCCCATAAAAGTATTGCCTTCACTGCACCTAAATACTTTAATAAACTTCCTATTGCTGTTAGAAACCTAGATTCAGAACTATTTTTAACTAGAATTAAGATGTTCCTTAATGATAAGGCTTTCTATAACTGTGATGAGTTTTTAAACTGTGATATACCAAATCTGTGATAAATGTTCTTTTATACATCTTTTGTACACATAAATAATTGTCATGTATGTTTTTTATTTTTTATATATTCTTTATGTCATGTAAAGTTCTTTTTCTCTCTGACTTGTGTAATACAACTCCATGTAAATAACACCAATAAATGATTTGATTTGATTTGATTTGATTCTCGTATCATAACGCTACTGATTACATTTTATTGTGATAATTGTGTAAGTTGATAGTTTATTAAATTTATTAATCAAGTGTTGAATATGGAAAAACAAATTTATTTAATTGGCTGCCAAATATCAAAATTTGTGGGACGTAAACTGCCAAGTTTAAAAGAGGTTATGTCGCTTTTTTTCATTATCATTGTTCTCAGAGATTGACAATTAAAAAAAGTGCATTAATTACGATTGAAAACGTTTTTGAGTTATGGGCTGAAGCTCAAATTCCGACGTGTACCAAAAGTTCTGCAATAAGAAAGCTTTTTCACTATCATACTCAGTGGAAAAATTTGTTGAAAAATAAAAATAAAAAGCAGTCTCACAAAAAGACGTCACATTTTCGTCTGCTAATTGAAAAATTGTTTGATGTTGCACATCATAATTCAATGAAACTTATTGATGAAGATAAAAAATTATTTTTGCGAGGTCAACGGCAATCGAATCGACAAGGTTTTATTGAGGTTAATCCTCAAAATGATATGGAAGTTGATCTTGTGTCAGACAGTAATGAAAATCAATCAAATGAAATTGGTAAGTGTTGTTATTCTTTTTGACAATCTTGGGTAACTTTTGCATACAAATTATATAGAAAATCGTTCACTTTTAAATCTTGCATTTTCTCGATTTCTCAAAAACTTCAAAATATTTAATTGAATTATTTCTCAGATATAATAAAAAATGGTTTTTTTTTTAATTTTCTCTTTTTAAATAGACTTTTCTTTTTTATGCATGATTCTAGTTATTTCAAATTTTTTTTATTATTCTTTAAAATCACTAAAGATAAAAAAATTTAAGTTCACTAGCATTTTTAATTTACATCTAAAAAATTGCTAAAATGTTTCAACAAATCTATAAGTTACAATTAATTCAAGCTTCTGTAAATAATTTATGAAGTTTTGGTTTTTATTTTTTTTGCGATCAAAATTTCGAATTATTTTTTAAATTTTTGAGAATTTAATTGATACTTTTAATATTTTATAGAAAAAAATCAGTCTGTCAACGATATCGGCTTATTAAGTCAAAAAACGGATTCCAGTCTTAGCCGAACTTCACACTCAATATCTGATTATAAAGATGATGTCAAATTATCGCAACAGCCAAAAAAAAGGATATAATGACATCTCTACTTGCTAGTACACTTGATCGTGCCAATGTAACTGACAGAAATGCTACTTACATCATAGCTGCTACTTTGTCTAGTGCAGGACTTGACATAAACGACTACAATGTAAGTCATATGACGGTCCATCGAAAGCGTGAATCTGTGAGGGAAAATTTAGTGAAGAATTTACAAGACGATCTGACAATTAATAACTGCGTTCTACACTGGGATGGAAAAATAATGCCTGACAATGAAAAACCTGGAAATGTCGATAGAGTGGCAATTGTATTAACAGCTTCGGGACAAGAAACATTTCTGGAAGCTCCAAAAATCGCTTCTGGAACTGGTGGAAATCAGGCCTCAGTGATTGTTTCAAAATTACAGGAGTGGTCTGTCACTGAAAAAGTTAAAGCGCTCTGCTTTGATACTACAGCAACAAATACAGGTATTTTTTTTATATTATTGCAGTTGTTTCGAAAAATTTTATTTTTAGAATCATTCCTACTTTTTGAGATTTCTTCAATTCTTGCTAACTATGTTTTGATTGTTAAATTTGCGATTTATCTATTTGTACAAATTTAATTTAGAATTTATTATTTATTAGGCGTACACAGTGGTGCATGCGTTTTAATAGAACGAGCATTAGAAAGAGAGCTTATTTACTTGCCATGTCGTTACCACATTCTTGAAATGGTTTTGAGATCTGTATTTGAATCCTATTGGCCTATATCATCTGGACCGAATGTCCCTATTTTCACAAGATTCAAAGATAATTGGAAAAATATCGATCAACAAAAATATGTTACAGGAATTTCAGACCAGGAAGTATTTGGAGTCATAGGTGATGACAAGGAACAAATACTGATTCTTCTACCAAATTATTCACAAGTAAAAAGAAATTTATTTTATAACTAATGTTGATTGTAATTTAATAGCAATAAAAAAATGATAATAATAATAACAATAACATTTACTATGTTAAATAGGTATCACTACAAAGAGCTTTTGCAATTGGCTTTTATTTTTTTGGGAGCTATACCACCTAACGGAATATTGTTCAAACAACCTGGAGCCGTACATCACGCAAGGTGGATGGCAAAGGCGATTTATAATTTGAAAATATTTTTATTTAGAAATCAATTTAAATTAACGAACAGCGAAATGAAAGGAGTGCGTCAGGTCTGCGTTTTTGTAATCAAATTTTATTTAAAAGCATGGTTTTCAGCAACATCAGCGATAACAGCACCAAATAATGATTTGAATCTAATACAAGATTTGCTTTCCTATAATAAAATAAACCCAGTTGTTTCAAAAAATGCATCTAAAAAAATGGCTAAGCATTTGTGGTACCTTTCAGAGGAATTAGCTGCTCTGTCATTATTTGATGTAAGTGTCTTGTCAGAAATTAAAAAAAAAATTGTTACAGCTCTAAAATCAAATGAAGGCATACTTATAAATAAGAAGCGTTTTCAGATAAAAGACAAAAATTTAAAAACATTATTAAAAAAAGATTTGAGCGACTTTGTGTCTAAAAAATCTTTGGTTTTATTTGGACGGTTCGGTTTGTGTACTGATTTTCTTGATGAAGAAATAACTTCATGGCCAACTCATACAAGCTTTTTAAATAATCTTCAGTTTTTCAATTCATTAAAAGTTGTAAATGACGTTGCTGAAAGAAACATTGCGTTAATTTCCCAATATAATCAACAATTGACTGCTAGGAGCAGTTCCAAGGTTTGTTACAGACTGT